AGTCTTCTACATCCTCGGCTGGTTCAGCCCTCGGCTGGTTCATCCCTCGGCCTCCTTTCTTCCTCTTCTACGGTTCTAGTGATGGTGTCAACACGGAATTCCATCTTGCTTACCTTCTTCGTTACTTGAAGGTAACAGGCGCGGGCGAGTTTTTGATTTCCCCTCGAGTAGCTGATGCCTCCCTCGGCTGGGAACTTGAGGCAGAGGTGCCTCATGGAGATGATGGTTTTGAGATCCTCGAGGGCTGGCCGGCCGAGGATGATGTTGTGGGCGCAATCGATGTTGACGACGATGAACTCCACTTCGAGCTTGGCTTTATGGAGCCCGTCGCCGAATAGTACCGGGAGGGTAATGACCCCCTCAGAATCAATAGTGTCTCCGGTGAAGCCGGCGAGAGGGGTCTTGATGAGCTGAAGGGACCCCCTCTCCAGATGCAGCTCTCTGAATGTGTTGAGGTACATTACATTGACGGAGCTGCCCGTGTCAATGTAAGTTCAGTGGATGATGGTGTCATTGATCTCTGTACGGATGACGAGGGCATCCCTGTGCGGAGAGGAAGCCGGGGGGAGATCGGCGTTGGTGAAGGTGATGGGTTCCTCCCTCAGCCGCTTTCCCGGGGGCATATGAGTGACTTCCCCCACATATAGCGATTGAGCCCACTTCTTCCGCTGGCTGGTGGAGAGTCCTCCTGTGTTACCTCCAGTGATCATATGGATGTGGCGCTTTTTCTCCTGGTACTGGCTGTACTCCTCCTCCTCATCGAGGGGGGTGATGTTTGGGTTGACCCAAGCGTTTGCTTTCTTAGGGGCCCCCTGGTAGTGAGGGGTCCCCTGAGGCAGAGGGCCTCTGATGAATTGGGACAGGTGGACTGCCTGTATCAACCTTTCAATGGCCGTCTTCAGCTGAAGGCAGTCGTCGATGTTGTGCCCTTGGTTGCGGTGGAACCGACAGTAAGGATAATTGGGGTTGATGGCGTATACCTCCAGGGATGCGCGAGAGTCGCGCTCCACAAGGCCCCTCTCCTCGGCGAAGTCTAGGATGACACTGACGGGGTGCGTCAAGGGAGTCCGAGGGTGCTCCAAAAGAATAGGTTGGGCCCAAGCCTTCGAGTTTCCCTTGTAACCTCCCCCGGGCTTGGCTTGGCCATGCCGGGGGCGATCACTAGGGGTGCCGAAACCTTGGATTGATTATGGGGAGCCCTCGGCCCCCAGTTACCCTTGTCATCTGGCCGAGGGCGTTGTTGATCGGGGTTGTGATGGCACTTTTCCACCTCCTCGGCCTCGGCGTACCGGTCCCCCCCGATGCAGGGCCCTTATGTAATCGCGGGGAGGTTCGATGATGAGGCTCCTTGAAAAGTTCCCGGGGCGAAGGACTGTTTGAAGGAGGGCCAGGAGGGTCCCATCGTTAGCGCCATCAACTTTGTCAGCCTCCATCCTCCAGCGTTCCAAGAAGTCCCGAAGGGTCTCCTCCTTCCTTTGTCTCACTGTCAGCAAGTGGGAGAAATGTTTTCTTGACCGGCGCCTTCCTGCAAATTGCGTCAAGAAGCGTTGGGTGAGTTCTTGCCATGAATCGATGCAGCCTTCGGGCAGTCGGTTGAACCATTCGTACGCTGGTCCCTCTAGGGTGGAAAGGAACCAACGGCACAAATATTCGTCTGATGCCCCCACCATCATCATGTTGTTCTGGTAGCGGCTGTAATGTTCCTGAGGGTCCGTCTTTCCTTCATAGGTCCTGATGGGCTGCCCCGGGTATTTTTCCGGAATTCAGGCCGCCAATACCCTTGGGGTAAATGGCGTCCTGGTCCGGAGTTGGATGACGGGTTCCCCGGAGCCTTCGGCTATTTTCTTCTGCATTTCCTCCATTTTGGCCAGCATGGCCTCGTATTTCGGATCTGCATGAGGGGTGGCGACGACGGTATGCGCTCGATGAGCCTCCATCTCATTAAGCCGGTGTAGGAGGGCCGCAATGCTTTCGTCCCTGGGATCCTTCGGGAGGGCCTCCGCTCCCTGCGAACGAACACGGGCCGAGTGGGCCTGATTGATTTGGTGCCTTGCGTCATCGGCATGAAGTGGTGCCTTGTGTTTTTCCTGATGGGGACGCCTCTCGTCTGCTCTTGAGACGGATCCCCCGCTCTCTTGGGGCCTTTGGGACGCCTTTACACTGAGGCGGTCTTGGACCCCTCGGCGGTCTTGCGCCCCTCCGAGCCTCTCGAGGGATGAGGTCTGAGGCCTTTCTTTGTTCGCACCGCGTTGGTCCCGGGATTGGACCTCCTGGGAAGCGATGTCTCGAGTCACGACCCCTTCGTCGTTCCCCACCCGAGGGGTAGGGTTCACGAAGGGGGGTGGTCGAGGGAGAAGAACAGCGTTCTCCCCGACCTGTGGTTGAAGGGGTACCAGAGTGCCGAAGGCACCTGGGTTTTGAGTGAGTGTCTGGATGAAGGCAGAGAATGCCGATTGTACGTCGATAGTGAGAACCAGAGAGCTCACTTGATTTTCGCTCCGGTCCCTCCTTCGGGTTTCGATGCCGAGGCGGGCATCGGGAGCGTTTTGTTGGAGCTGAAGGCGCAGGTCAACAGCATCCTGTTCCAACTCAGTGATGACCCCGCCCTCGGGAGCCTTGTTAGAGGCTCCGGGGGCGTTGACCTCACTGAGGGCCAGGTTGTTGTCCTCAAGGTTCTTGGACTGAGCACGAGTGGTTCTTCCCATTTTAGTAGGTGTTTTTTAGCTGAAGGGGAGGTTTTCTTACTTGATTGTTCGACCTCTCAATGAAAGCACCAAATGGTGGATAAGTGTACCCGGGGGTATCTATCCGAGGGGTTACTGCGGGGAGTAACTAGAAAGAAGTCAGAGCAAAAGTAAGAGAGAGAATATATATTGCTGAGAATGCGTCGAGTGTATTGAGCTTGAATTACAAACGGGGAAAGGAGTGCTATTTATAGTAGTAATAAATTCCAGATAGGGACACGTGTCATCATTCTAGTGGTCGAGGGGTCACCTCAGCGGGGTGGCTCTGGCACTCGCATGTGGCTGCATTAAATGCGGTGGTTGGATGTGACGTTTGTACTTGGTACGTTGATCCGGCGCATGTGGGTGGGAGATTCTGTCGAGAAGATGCCTTCGGCCGTAGATGATTGGCCGAAGGCTCTTCATACCGAGGGCCCCTGGGTGCCGAGGGCTCTAGGTGCCGAAGGCTACTGTTTCGTTGTTTTCTCCCGGACACTCTAAGTATTTTAAAGAAGCTGTATTGTGCGTTTATTAGCCTTCGGCCAGGGGGGGTGAAGGCACCCCAGTGCTCGTCGTGGGCTGCTTGGCACTTGGGGTGCTGTAATTTGGGCCTGCCATGCTCCCTGAGCCTGTTGGGCCTTTGCTACAGTAGTGGGAGTCTGTGGGCCGGGGGTTCCTGGACCATATAATCCATCATATGAGCTTATTGGGCCTCTTGTCAAGGCTGGCTTTAGGATGCAAGACACAGGGCTTGAGACTCATAAAAAAGATAAAAATTAGGTTTAATAGTTTTTTGTTTTATGTCCTCATTATAAGGTATTTTTTGTTTTTTTATGTTGTTCTATATAGTTTTATTATACTATGTACTACTAATTCATACTCCCTCCGTCCCAAATTTATCTTCATAGTTACTATTCACACGGTCAACCCAAATTACTCTTAATCTTTTACTTTATATATCAAATTTTTATCAAACTTAAATTTTCTTGATCAGACTTTGTAGCGGATTTAATGTAGTTTCTGAATATGTAAATTTAATTTACTAAAAATAATCTGAGTGTGAACAGGGATCAAGTTGCTTTATCGTCAGTCAAGCATCGTAAACCGAACTACGAAGATAAATATGGGACGGAGGGAGTACTATAAAGAAGTACATAGTATAGTTTATTTTTTTAAGGAAAACTTAACAAGAATAATCACAACTTTATCTTGTCTTCTTAGAATAATCTCGCCTAAACGCAATCTCAAAATACTTTCACATTTGTATCTATATTCTTTTGTTGGTACCTTACCGGTCGATGACTAGTTGTTCCGAACAACTTGTTCGGGGTTATATGCTTTTTCTTTGAAAAACATTAAACAAAAATCTCTTATTTCATTGATCTTCCAAAAAAACAATCACATGTATCTCTGGACACTTTATATTCCTTTTTCTGTCTTCTTATTTTTATTTCTGTTTCATGTTTATGTTTATCAAGGGTTGGTCTGCTCCTGTATAGTGTGCGTTCCTTACCTTTTCAGTCAGTGTTCTTCAAGTGTCCTTTTGACATTGCCCAGTGTGTTTGTGGAAGGAAGGCTTACAAAAAATTCTTAAATTACTTAAATTATACTACCTCTGTCCCATAAAATTCTTCCCACTTTCCTTTTTGGGTCGTTCCAAAAAATTCTTCCATAAATTATACTACCTCTGTCCCATAAAAACAATCATTTTACATTTTATTTTCTCTGCTCGAGATGTACAATTACTTAAATTATACTACCTCTGTCCCATAAAATTCTTCCCACTTTCCTTTTTGAGTCGTCCCAAAAAATTCTTCCCACTTACCATTTTTGGACACTTTGTGTGGTTCACATTCATTTCACCTTTTTCTTATACAACTTCAACTACACATTTCCACTTTATTCCACTTTCTTAATCTCCGTGCCAAGTCAAAGTGGGAAGAATTTTCTGGGACGGAGGGAGTACTGGTATTTATATTCAACAACGTTGTCCCATAAAATTCTTCCCACTTTCCTTTTTGGGCCTTCCCAAAAAATTCTTCCCACTTACCATTTTTGGACACTTTGTGTGGTTCACATTCATTTCACCTTTTTCTTATACAACTTCAACCACACATTTCCACTTTATTCCACTTTTTTAATCTCCGTGCCAAGTCAAAGTGGGAAGAATTTTCTGGGACGGAGGGAGTACTCGTATTTATATTCAACAACTCTGTGCAAGAAAATTCAAGACAGGGAATTGAAGAAACTTAGATAGAACCATCGTTGATAAAGCTATGATATATTATGTGGAAATGAGTTACTTATGATCATCAATTAACAAATGCAACAAGCTACCAAACTGTAGCTTTTTTTATGTTTTAAGCAAACATACAATTACCAAGCAATGACCTCAAAATAACAAAGTAACACCTTAACCACAAGTCAAAGAGACGATAATAGAAGTTCAAAATCACATGTTTTCCAGTTTCAAACACACACACAAAGGATGTAGATACAAAAACCTGAGAATTTCACTAGTGTGCCAACTTAAAGTAAAGAATCAATATGATTGCAATCACTAAGACGGCGACGATGCATCCAATGATCCATTTATTCCTGCTCATCCTTCTTGACATGTTTGTCAGTATCTTCTTGCTCCTGCTAATATTGTCATCCACTCCATGGAGCTACATAAAGGGTACAACAACATCCAAGCCTTAGTCCCAAAAGAGTATGGGGTCCGTTAACCGCTAACATGAATCGACATATGAAATTGGAGTTAAAATGTTTTTATTCTTTAAACCTTGATTATACATTCATAAATTAATATAGCTCTTCTGCAGTAAACCCACGGTGAAGCATTCTGAATTGAGTAGGAATAAATTTCTCATCTTCCAAACCAGTCGTGATTGTTCATGTGCATTTTTAAATTTTTAAACATAAAAAGGAAAGACTAGAGTTCAGAGAGAAAAAGTTAAATAGTCGTACTGTATTATGAGCATGAAGAAGAGATTGGCGTTGCTGGTGCAAATCATGAAGGATTGAAACCCCAAGCTCTTCAGTTTCCAGCATCACTTTTCGGCCTTCTCTTATCCTATCACTAGACTGATTCAATCTCTCAGTTGACATCATCAGTCTTTGCCTTTGATCAGTTGATACCTATAAATAACATTATTTGAGAATTTTCATCAAACCTTTGAAAGCTTAAACGTGCTGGCATAAAAGGATATGTTGAGACTTGAGAGTTCTTTTTTAGGGAGGGAGTAGGGCTTATTTTATATTTTAAATTCAGAGTTGTTTATGATCTTTCCATCATTTGCAATGGAGTCAAAGACTCACTATTTTTTGGCTTGAGAATATGATGGAATAAAGCAAAATGGCTCACTAGACTGTCCGCGCTTCTTTGTTATGAAGCAGCGGTCAGTTCATGCAATTTTAGACGCGATGTTCACTATGGGTCATCCGGAAACGGTCTCTTTGTGCTTTAGTAATGGGTAAGATTGTGTACATCCGACCCCCCTTACCCCACCGTAGGGGTAATGATGATGATGATGAAGAGAGTTGTTTATGGTTTGTATGGTATTAAATGAATGACAAAAATGACAAGTTTCTAGTTTCTACTGATATAAATATTTTTATCTATATTTTAAAAAATAAGCAAGTTAAGTTAATATCTTTTCCAATGAAAAATAACCACTCCCTCCACATCCCCTCCAACCCCTTCAAACTGAAATGACAAACATGTCAACGGGATACCATGACGTCCTCTCATTCCCATTAGCAGAAGAAGCCTTATCCCATGATAAAAGGAAGCAGCTCAGCTTCAATAATCAATAAAACTAAAGGCCAGTTTGGTAGTGTTGTTATGAAGTGTTGAACTATGAATAAGAAGTGTTAAGCAGTGATGTGAAAGAAAACGAGTTTGGTTATTTCTAATATAGAATGATTTGAATGCGGAGGTGTTTGGTAATGAGGTGTTGTTGAATTGCTATTAAACGATTGAAATCAAGTCCAATAAATTTAGGTGTTGTGCTTTGAAAGCATTTCTATAGTGGCGACTTTAAGACTTCATGTTGTTGCTTACAAGCTAAAACACTTCGATTTTTAAACAAAGGAGCTTGTTATATCAGTGTTATAAACTTAATATTTTAAAAAAGTATATAAGGAAAAGTTCCATCTACTATTTCAAATCGAATTAATTTCACTTTTGGTCCTACGCGTTTTGTGTCAATTCCACATTTAATCCACGTCTTTCACTTTATCCACTTTTGATACTTGACTAATGTTTTTTGATCATTTGTGGTCCTTTTCCGGCGATTTTAACCATCAGAAACATTGCCGGAAGGACCATATATGGGCGAAAACACAATAGTCGTGCATCAAAAGTGGATAAAGTGAAAGATTTGGACTAAATGTCGAATTGACATAAAACTCGTATGACCAAAAGTAGAATTTTATTCATTTCAAACCCATCACTTAAGCCCATACACAGATGCACTATAAAAGTACTACGTATTACAAAAGAACTCTTACTTTGAAAAAACAATCAATCCGACCCCTTTACTGGTTTTTTACCTATAGTCACTTTTTTGAAAAAAATTATAAATTTTGTAACATGTCATTCTACGCATAATTTTAAAAATGCACAAATATATATAAAATGAATAATATAAAATCAAATTATATGATAAAAAAGACAAATAAATCAATAAATTTATAATAAAAAAATTAAAAATTATAAAATGAAAATATAAAAATATAAAATCAAAATGTAAAAATATTTAAAAATGTAGATTATACAAATAGTTCAAAAAAGCAACAAAAAAAGAGTTCTTCATTTCTTTATAGTTTTGTTTTCTATTCTTTTCCGAATTTTATCAGGTTTCTTAATTCTTTTTCTAAAACTGACCTGACATAGGAGGTCACAAATCATTAAAATGGCTGAATTGTTTGTTTTTCAAAGTGAGCGTGCTTATGTGATACCCTTTCTTAGTATGGCTTTAGTGATGGATTTGAAATCGATTAAGGGTCTATTTGGACCTTTTCCCAAGTATAAAGAACTACTAGCAATTTCCACCCATACTTAAAAATTAAAACCTCTAAGAGCAACTCCAACAGGCACCAAATCTCACACCAAAATGGTGGATTTGCCAAAAAAATGCTCCAACAGCCACACCATATCTCACACCATTCCACCATTTTGGGGGAGAGGGGGAGATTTTACGCCATATATGGCGCACACCAAATCCCACACCATCCTATTTTTTTAATTTTTTTGTATTTCAAAAGTGACCCAAAGTTTTGATTGTTATAGTTTTGACCCATTTTTAAAACAACAAATTATGATATTACTTGGACTGAAATTTGTTGGTCTGCTCTGGTCTGGCATGATTTGGTCTGGTCTGGTCTGAACTGATGTGGTCAGGTCCGATAACTAAACTAAGAATATTTATTTAATGTATTGCTTTAAGTTTAAGTAGTACTTTATTAATGACGTACAAATTATTATAATATTATTGTAATATTTAATTTTATGTGGTTTTAGCTTGTATTTTTGAAATATTGATTATTGTATTTTAATAAGTGAAATGCGTGAAAATACATATTAAAATGGTGTATTTTAGTTTGTATGTGTGAAATAATGTGTGAAATGTCAAGATATTAAATGAGGGGCTAATGTATAAATATATGATAATTAGATACTTAAATAGAAGAATGGTAAAAAGTTAGTAAAAAGAATAAAAAAGGAATCTTCCTTTTTGGTGATGAAAATGGTGTAAACTGTTGGAGATAAAATAATGTATGATGTGATGTTTACACCATTTTAGTGTACAAAATGGTGTAAACTATTGGAGATGGCCTAACACCATTGTACCACTTCACACCCTGACCAAATCTCCATTTTTTGTAACATGTCTTTTAAAGCGCCATCGAATAGAAAGCATTCTTGACATGTTGCTATTGCCTTTCTTAAGTCAGAAATACTCTGGGTAGTAATGAAATTAATGTTTTATAACATGAGAAGTGGACACCACCTTAGCATCTGCCATTCCACCAGATTCCAACAAATCATCTCTTGCTGCTTGGTTAGCATTAGCAGATGTAATTCTTTTAACTTCAGTTTTCAAATTGTTCAGATCACTTTTATATCCTCTCAACTTCAGAAGGAGAGTGGCCTTTACATTTGGTGGTAAACTCCTAGCCTCAAGATCCATTTTGCGAATCTACATAACAGAAAGACAAAGAAAGAAACATTTATAAAGAATACCGAAGAAGCAAAACTTAGTACCCTTGAATTAATAAAATTCATGCACTACATTACCAAAGCCTCAGCATCATCCAATCCAGATTTAACTTCTGAAATTTTCTGCTTCTTTTGTTCTTCAAGCATGCAAATACGGGACAACAACAGTTACAAAAACCATAGAGTACAAAAACACATGATCTACACAATAGAAAACTTTAAGTCCTTGCACAGGCCCAAATCATGACACGACTCAATGTAGTCACAACTTAGATAACTTGTCACTGGAATAGTTGCAGCAGTATATTTCCTAATTTTTTACCGATTAAACAGGGGGATAGTGCACTTGACTGCAGAAAACAATAGCTAAGTCTTCTCTGAATCTTTCAATAGAAAAAATTTGATTGAGAAATCAATACTTTTACATTGCGTGAAAAGGGCACCTAAAAGACTCCTCTTTAAATAAAATGCAGGAAAAGAAGACGAAAGGAAATTATTTGCACCTCCATCAAGGCCACTAGCTGAGGTACACTTCTTTGACAAGTTAGAAGAAAGCTCACTGTATTGACGTTCATATCCTTCGAACACCTGACTCATTCTACAACACCAAATTCACAAAATTACTATCACAGCCCACCGAAAGTTCCACAAAAATAGCATCATAATCAAGCATTTAGCGTTCAAAATCCAAATACTGTCAAGGCTAATTCACATAACCGATGCTAAGTCCAATCCAGATCAAACAAAAACTGAATCAAAATGATGAAATCGGTAATTCACCGAATCAAAACGACAATAGAAATGAAGACCTAACGATGTTAACTATTGCAGGCAGTAAGCTCTGGAATGGAATTTCAAGAAAAAACGCATCGGAAGACCTACCTTGAATTGATTAGAAGATCACTAGCCGGTCGGGAATTGATCGCCGAAGAGACTTTGCTTCACGCTTTCGAAAAATGAAGGTCGAAATATTTTACATTTCGCATCGGCATACAGGCGGTACAGCGGTCGGTAGTAAAAGACTCAAATATCCTAAATGGCCCCTACCGGCGCGCCACCATTAGTGATCTTTGATAATCCATTTTTTAGTTGATAGATATTTTTACTTTTTTAACTATAACAGATTTTTTAGTTTTATTGCCTGACTTTGTAGTATCTGTTCAATACTTCATTGTTAAATGTTAACATTCTTAACTGAATTGAGTTTTGAACTTTTATCTTCTCCTTGGGAGTGTCACAATAATGTCATCGAATCACAAGGTGATTGGCCAGATTTTTTAGTTAACAGATAGTTTTTTACTAAAGTACGTAGTGAACATTTTATTTCACGTAAATTAAAGGTACTTTATTTTTTGAAAAAAAATCATTAATATTATTCCTGAAAAAAATGGTGGATAAAAATGTGACTTGATAACTTTTAATAACTATAATTGTATTCAAAAGTTAGTAATCTTTGAACACAATCATAATCACTAAAAGTTACTAAGTCAACTTTTTATTAGTAATATTTCAGGAAATTCTCTTTCGAGTGAAAAGAACACACTTCATGTCTTACGAGTATAATTGATAGACTACCTCCTTAAACAACTTTCTAATTTTCTTTTGGACTAAAATTTATTGGTCTGGTCTGATCTAGTCTATTTAAGTCTGATCTGGTAAATGTCCGGTCATTGTGTATTTTATAATTATCCAAGTCTGATTAGGTCTAGTCTGATTTGTTTAAGTTTGGTTTGGTCTGGTCTGGTTTGAGACATAAAACAGTCCAAAAGAACACACCCTAACACCTATTTTACAAAAATAACATTTTTGTTTTGTTTTGACTCTGTGTAAATTACACTACATTGCTTTAAGCCTTTAATTGATATAAAATTTACATATTCAGAAATAACATTAAAAATTTTATAATACCAGAGCAAGAAAAATTAAATTTGAGAAAAGTTGAATATATAAAGTAAAACATTTAGCATAATTCGCGTTGACCAGAGAATAATTATCGAGAACATTTAAATGGGACAGAGGGAGTATCACTTGACATTTGACATTGCATACTCATTATTACTTTACACTAATAAAACAAATTGATACAAGTTTATTTACTAAATAAAGAAATAAGACTTTACTTAGGGCCATCACAAGAATGAAAGTAGGAAGTTTCTTTAAAACGTATTTTAAATATTACTATCTTATAATTGAGTAATAAGTCAAATCAGTCATTTTGATAGCTCTGAATGAGCCAAAAAATGGGGAGGAGGCGAATGTTGGGTACCAGACATGCCTGGGTTTTAAGAAAGTTTTATGTCCAAAAAGGAAAGCTATAACTTCTCGTGATATTATGGGGAAGCAATATAATTCTAATAACTATTTTTACTTTTTGTTTTTTGCTTTGGTCATGATATATTTCTGTTTGTATTTTGGTTTTATTTTAGTGAGACTCTAGAGTTTGAATCGAGTGATGAAAGACCTGTTTTGATCACCTTTGGTTCAGTTATGCTCATTATAGGATCAACAAGTATATTACTTTCTGGAAGGTAATTGATCCCGAGTCTGGTTCAAGAGTTTACGGTTGGGAGTGAACTTTTTGTCTTTTTACTACTTGTTTGAATTCTAAGACTTCAATATAAGCCACTTTCTTTAAGAAAAAATTGTAACTTTGGTGAATTGATACCTTTATGTTTTCCACTTTTAATGAAGACATATTTCGTCAATTAACTAGAGGAACCAATAATGCATGCTAGGGTTGATAGTGTTCCACTTCCCTCATTCTAAATTGATTTATTATTTGTGAATTTTAAGATTTACTATTGATAAAGCTAGACCTTCCTTGCAGACAGTTAAATTAATTTTTCTAATTACATTTTATGTGATCAAAAACTACTTTGAAAGCTTTATAAATTAAAGTCGCAAAATCCAAATTGAAACACAAAAAAATTTAACATCCTAAATAAGTAAATGAATTTAAATTCTGCTGATGATAAAAGATTTTACAAATCACTTTGCCATGAAAAGAATAAATCTTTTATGTTGATCTTAGTAAGATATTAGACATCCCATTGCTTGGATCAACATCTGAACCTCACTGTTTGATATGATTTATACAACTTGTAATTTCCTACAATGTACTTCTTCAATAAATGTATTGTTTAGCTAATTTGTATTCTTTGTTGAGGGTGAGGTTTATGATACAAGTACCGACCTAACATTTCAATAGAGAGATAACAGGTTCATCCAAAAGAATAATAGAAACTAATAATCTCACATTTTAGTTGTATTCTTTAGAATAGTCTCACTTAACCGTAATATGAAAATAGTCTCTATTCTGTCTTCTTTTATTGATCCTAGACCAGACCTGATATTCCAGATTTTCCCTTATCTTTGTAAAACAATAAACCATAAATATCAATTAATCATAGATATTTCAAAAGTCCCACATATCATTTTTCTTTTTTCTTCATAAAGTTCTCTCTTTTCTTTATCGTCTCAACGCTTCTATTCCTTTTTCTTCTTTTTATTATCATTTATTTATTTTGTTTGTGTATTCACTTATCCATCTACCATATAAGAGTTTTTTTTTTTGTAGAACTTTCCCTCGATAGTTATTCCCCCTTTTTCTCTTATCCCCCATTTTTGTTTATTTTATTTCCTTTTTTTATGGAAAAAGCCAAAACTTATATACGATAGTATTAAATAGTTAAAAAAACTATTTTCACTACCTAGACATAGTAATAGCAACTCTAGCGATAGCATGAGCAACCTCATTTGCCGAAGGCATGCATCAAGGAAGCTTTTACATTCTCATTCTCACTCATCAATTTCTTTTGTCTTTCATACACCAACCCCACTGAGGAAACACCTGGCTGACTGGCTCCCCTTGCATAGGCAAATTATATTATACACCCGGTGACCCGGGTGTACATGTACACCCGATTTTAAATGACGTGGCATCTTCTCCTGCAACAAACAAAAGAAATCAGAGATCTCAGCGACCAAGCTCACCATCGGTCTGTTGTTCACCATCGGAGTTCAACCCCAAGCTCAGCGACCAACGACATAGACCTCGCCAGGAATCAGCAACAACAAAAAATAGCCCGGCAAATAGGGGGAGTAGCGACCTGCTTCTACCACTAACTCTCGGTGTTGTCCACAATCAATCAAACCTTTCCTTCTTGGACGGAGCACCAGGCAAGAGCAACGAATTCCGGATTAAAAAAATCAGCAACAACTTTGCCTCCGTATAACCTCTGTCCGCTGCGTCAACAAAATTCCGGCCAGCAACATCTCGAGCTCTGCTTCCAATGAATTTCCCCTGCAATGTAGCAAAAGAAAAAAAAAGAACAGTAAAGAAGAAAAGTTACCAGCTATTAACTCTGCTTCCAGAAATCTCTATAGCTATGGGTCTTGAAATCATTGGTGCAAGGATGATTATGCAGACCGCAGGGGTTATATTTATATAAGAGTCCTCTAGAGCATTGGAGTTTTATTAGGATTCTAATTCTAATATGAAGGGCCTCGTAAATTAATTCAACTCTTGTCATCGCTCGCACGTGCCAAATCCTATACCTAAAACCACTACATTGGAGACAGGAAATTCTCCCGCCTATGCATTCTCCGCCTAAAATCCTAATATGTAATTTCACTTTCCGCAAAAAGAAATCATCCTATTCATCCTAGGGATGGACTAAACCGGGCCGGCCCGGCCTGCTACTGTGCGGGCCCGGACCGGACCGGGACCGGTTGGCCGGTTCCGTGCTTTTAGCCCGTTTAAGCGGGCCGGGCGGGCCGGGCTCGGGCCCAAGTTTGGGTGAACCGGGCCGGGCGGTTCGGGCCGGGCCTGGGTCAATTTTTGTTTTTTTTTTGTTTTTTCAATTGTTTTTTGCTTTTCCTTGGGTAGGGCTGGGTGTTTTGGGGAGGTTTGGAGGGTGGGGGTGAGGGGGGGTGGTCGGGGGATAACAAGAAAGCAAAAAAAATAGACATTGAAATGGGCCCGGGCCGGCCCGGTTAGGCCCGGACCCGGTATCAACCCGGGCCGATTCTGGGTCCAAGGATTTGCAAAAAAGGCCCGCCTGGGCCCGGCCTGGATCCATCACTAATACATCTTATGCCTAAAAGCACTAAAAAAATATCATCATCATCATCATCCTATACCTAAAACCACTACATTGGAGACAGGAAATTCTCCCGCCTATGCATTCTCCGGCTAAAATCCTAATATGTAATTTCACTTTCCGCAAAAAGAAATCATCCTATTCATCCTAGGGATGGACTAAACCGGGCCGGCCCGGCCTGCTACTGTGCGGGCCCGGACCGGACCGGGACTGGTTGGCCGGTTCCGTGCTTTTAGCCCGTTTAAGCGGGTCGGGCGGGCCGGGCTCGGGCCCAAGTTTGGGCGAACCGGGCCGGGCGGTTCGGGCCGGGCCTGGGTCAATTTTTGTTTTTTTTTTGTTTTTTCAAATGTTTTTTGCTTTTCCTTGGGTAGGGCTGGGTGTTTTGGGGAGGTTTGGGGGGTGGGGGTGAGGGGGGGGTGGTCGGGGGATAACAAGAAAGCAAAAAAATAGACATTGAAATGGGCCCGGGCCGGGCCGGCCCGGTTAGGCCCGGACCCGGTATCAACCCGGGCCGATTCTGGGTCCAAGGATTTGCAAAAAAAGCCCGCCTGGGCCCGGCCCGGATCCATCACTAATACATCTTATGCCTAAAAGCATACACTCGAGAGAGAAAATTCTCCCGCCTAAGCATTCTCCGCCTAAAATCCTAATCCTATACCTAAAAGCACTACACTCGAGAGAGAAAATTCTCCCGCCTAAGCATTCTCCGCCTAAAATCCTAATATGTAATTTCACTTTCCGCAAAAAAAAAGCATCCTATACATAAAAGCACTATGCTGGAGAGAAAAAAATTCTCCCGCCTAAGCATTCTCCGCCTAAAATCCTAAAATACAATTACACTTTCCACAAAAAAAATCACCATCCTAAAATCCTAAAATGTAATTTCATTCTTTACCTAAAAGCACTATATTGGAGAGAGAAAATTTTCCCGCCTAAGTATTCTCCGCCTAAAATTGTTA